AGGGTGCAGCGGATCCGAGAGATCAGGGGCAAGGCTTTCGGGCTGGACTGGTCTAAGGATCCCCTCCCCTCCAAGCTACCAGATAGAGCCTTAGATTGGAGAATAGTAACTCCAGAAAGCAAGGTGATCCAGGCTCTCCCCGTGTGTGTGTTTGGGGAGGTGGTTGAATGGGTCGGGCAGAGATGGTCAAATCTGATTATACCTGTGCTCACGTATAGAGATGGCACCTCTGGATGCAGATCCATACAACTCTCCCTTTCCCCACCTTGGTAGATGGGAGCTGCTCCCCGGAGGCTGAGCTGGTCAGCATCCTCAACCGGCGCTCACCCTTGAAGTCAGAGAAGAGCCCCTGCCCACCCACACTCTTCTTGCCCAGTTTTGGGGTCGCCTCCGTCTATCAGGTCCTCAGCCCTGGTGGCCACCCAGTCCAGTTCAAAGGAACAGAACGATGATACTGGCTTCGGTCCTGGGGAGCGGACCCCGGGGCGGGTCACCCCTCCGGCCTCTCTTGGGGCCCGCACTCTCGCTCAGGGCCCGCTCCACATCAGCCACTGATACCCACCACGTGGAGATGGCACGGGAGCGCTCTAAGACCGTCACCTCCTTTTACAACCAGTCAGCCATCGACGTGGCAGCAGAGAAGGTGTGCAGCTAGGGCGGTGAGGCTTGGGTCTGGAGCTGGAGTGGGGGTCCAGGGAAGGGGTGAAGCTAATATGGCCGGGGCAGGGTGTTGGAGATGCTATGCTCAAAGGCCCTCTGCCCCTCCAGCCCTCAGTCCGTCTCACTCCAACCATGATGCTCTATTCAGGCCGCTCTCAGGATGGCAGTCACCTTCTGGTAAGATTCCTGCCTCTTGTTTTGCTCTTGGGCCCTGGAGCTCTGACCCAGCCCCCCAGTCCCTGGCCTTCACTTCCCTCTTCTCTTTCTTTAAGAAAAGTGCCCGCTACTTGCAGCAGGAGTTGCCAGTGAGGATCGCTCACCGCATCAAGGACTTCCGCAGCCTTCCTTTCATCATTGGCTGCAACCCCACCATACTGCACGTGGTAAGGCGGCCTCAAGAGGGCGTAGAGAGGCCCTTAAATCAGTGTGCCCACCACCCATGGGGCAGATGGGGAGAGGGAACCAGAGTGGTAGAGGCCTACCTGCATAAAGTTTTCTGAGTCCTAGAGGACTTGGCCCCAAGCTTTCATGGAGACTTGAAAGACTGTGATGGGGTCGGAACCCAGTGAACTGGGATGGATGGCAGTCCCCATAGGTGGTCACGGCTGACTGTTCTCTATCTGTGCCCAGAGCATCCTTGTGAATTCCCACACCTCTTCCTTGCAGCACGAGCTGTACATCTGTGCCTTCCAGAAGCTGACAGACTTCCCTCCGGTGAGGGCTGGGCCAGGGCAGGGTGAGGGACTGAGAGGTCAGGGCTGGACCCTCCATGCTCACGACTCTGTGGCTTGCAGATCAAGGACCAGGCGGATGAGGCCCGATACTGCCAGCTGGTGCGACAGCTGTTGGATGACCACAAGGATGTGGTGACCCTCTTGGCGGAAGGCCTGCGTGAGAGCCGGAAGCACATAGAGGTCAGGGTAGTGCAATGGGGGCCCAGACCTGGTGGGGGTGGGGGGGGTGGCCTGGGAAAGGCACAGGGTTTCTGAGGTCTTGCTCTTTATAGGATGAGAAGCTTGTCCGCTACTTCTTAGACAAGACGTTGACTTCAAGGCTTGGGATCCGTATGTTGGCCACCCACCATCTAGCACTACATGAAGATAAGGTGGGGCGCCGGGACCTAAGACTGTCAAGTGGACCAGAGGGAACTGAGCCAGGAGCCCCCTTGGACTTGGGGACCTGGTCCGCGGGCCTGGGGAGAGCCCTGGGGCTGCTTCCGTAGTCTAGAGTTTAAAAGCTTTTGTTGTCCAAGGTGTGGGTAGAGGTGATCTCTGGTCCTGACCTTCTTTCTCCTACCAGCCTGACTTTGTTGGCATCATCTGCACTCGCCTGTCACCGAAGAAGATTATTGAAAAGTGGGTGGACTTTGCCAGGTGAGGCTAGAATGGGTAAGGAAGTGGACATCATCGGGCAGGGAAGGTCTGGGTCTGAGCACTTGCCCAGGATGTGGTCCAGGGCAGGATTTTTCACCTGTGGTACTGTTCATGTTTTGGGCCAGATCATTCTTTTCTGTAAGGGGCTGGCCTGTGCTTATTAGGAAGGATCCCTGGCTTCTACTCATTTGATGGCAGTAATACTCCCCAGTTGTAGCAAACAAAAATGTTGCTAGAGATTGCAAAATGTCCTTGGGAGGGTGGGGAAAGAATCGGCTCCAGTTGAGACCCACTGGTTGGAGTCTCAGTCCCTTGCTCCTATCCACAGACGCCTGTGTGAGCACAAGTATGGCAATGCACCCCGAGTCCGCATCAACGGACACGTGGCAGCCCGTTTCCCCTTCATCCCGATGCCACTGGACTACATCCTACCTGAGCTGCTCAAGAACGCCATGAGGTGGGCTGCTGGATGTATTGGAAGGGGGCAGACGGGAACTGAGGTGAGGCGGGGGCACCACCACCTACTGGTATTTGGCCCCTTGCACAGAGCCACAATGGAGAGTCACCTCGACACTCCCTACAATGTCCCAGACGTCGTCATCACCATCGCCAACAATGATATCGATCTCGTCATCAGGTTTGCCCTGGGTGCGAGTTGGGTGGTATGGATGCAAGTTTCTGGGCACTGTTCCTGATCTGCTGAATGACCTCAAGCTTAGTGAGACTTAGTGTTTCAGGACAATCTCCAGTCCTCAGATTGCCGTGAGCTGGACATGAGTGGATCTGGGGCCAGCTGCAGGCCCCAGGGGCTTGTCTTTGTCAGAAACTGAGGGGCCCAAAGCAGTGAAAGAGTCAGAAATATGGTGCTGGGTGGAGAATAAATGTCAAGTCAGGTGAGAAGGTTTAAGCAGTCAGTGGCAGAAGTGAGGGTGGAGAAAAGTAGCTTACGAAAAGCAAGGCCGAAGTGTCCAGGTGACTACATTCCACGTTTGGGTGGGTGGAAGAGACAGGAAGGCCAGCTTAGCACTCACTGTCTACTTGGGAGGTAGTGAACCCCCGCCAAAGCTAAGCCAAACCCCCATTGCCGTCATCTGCCAGGATTTCAGACCGGGGCGGGGGAATTGCTCACAAAGACCTGGATCGGGTGATGGACTACCACTTCACTACAGCTGAGGCCAGCACCCAGGACCCCCGGATCAGCCCCCTCTTCGGCCACCTGGACACGCACAGTGGTGGCCAGTCAGGACCCATGCACGGGTGAGGCCCCGTTTGGCCAGAATGGAGGGGTGGGGGGGCCCAGGAGACTCAAGCCTCTGAAGCCCGTGTCCTGTCCCCCTGCCCACCCCAGCTTTGGCTTCGGGCTGCCCACGTCGCGGGCCTACGCAGAGTACCTCGGTGGTTCCCTTCGGCTGCAGTCACTGCAGGGCATTGGCACAGATGTCTACCTGCGGCTCCGTCACATCGATGGCCGGGAAGAAAGCTTCCGCATCTGATCTCACAGCCCTAGGCCGGCTGGCCTGCCCAGGCTGGGCCACACTCCCTGCCAGGACCTCCCGGGCTGGGCAGGGTACCACCCTGCTCCACACTGCTACATCTCGGGTCTTAGGGCCCCAAACAGGTGGACTTACATGGAGCCAGGCACCGGCCCTCTTCCATAGGGTCCACTGCTTCCCTGCCTCCAGGCCTTAGAGGGGAGGAAGTGGGGACCCTCGAGGTCTCCCGCACCAGCTCCGTCATTCTCGTTCCTGGGGAACCCCACTTTGACCTGCTGTTTGTTATTAAAGTTCACATTTTGAATGCCCTCTCAGGCCCCGTGTGTGAGGAGGGCAGGTGAGCCTTTGTTTCTGCCCTCTTTCAGGTCCCCTGGACCCTGGGTTTAACTAGGTCATGTCCTGGTCTCTTAACCATCCTCACTGCCTGGCAGACCAGGAACAGAATTGGCCCTGAGTCTCTTGCACAGTAAATGTAACAGGAGTGGGGATGAATTGGGCAGTTTGTGCAAAGACCTCTCATTCATTTCATTTCCCAAATGTTTCTGCCTCCCAGACAATATGGAAGGCCCAGGTTGGCCCAGCTTCAGGCCTCAGTTCCGATTCTTCCCAGCAAGTCACAGGTTATAGAGGTGAAGGTGACCCGACTGGGCACTCTTCCGAGTCACCTGATTCCTAAACCTGAGTAAGGAAGGTTAACGATACTGTCTGCCAGCTGTGCCTGCTACTGCCAAGTGAAAGAACACACAGGACTGTGCCCTGGCAGGCCCCAGAGGACAGCGGAGCCCGGGTAGGGAGGGCAGAGGGCTCCAGGGAGCAGGTGGTGGTGACCCCCCTCCACCCATCTTGCCAGGAAGGAAGGAAGGCCTAAAGCCTGCTTGGTGGGACTGGTGATGGAAGTGGGGGACTGAGGGGAGACAGGAATTGTATCTGGTGGTGGGAAACCCTAGTGATTTGCCAGGCTGAAAATCTTGCTGCTGCAGTGCTGGGGGGAGGAGGAGGGGGAGGCTGGAGAGGCAGGTAGTAGTCAGGGTGAAAGACCTTGAAATTACAGCCCAAGAAGTGTGGGTTTTATCCTGGAGGTAGCAGGGATCCATGGAAGGGTTTGAAGCTAGGAAGGGAGGTTGGATTCCCTAGAGTGAGTTGTTCAGTCATGTCTGACTCTTTGCAACCTCATGGACTATACAGTCCATGGAATTCTCCAGGCCAGAATACTGGAGTGGGTAGCCTTTCCCTTCTCCAGGGGATCGTTCCAACCCAGGGATCGAACCCATGTCTCCCGCATTACAGATGGATTCTTTACCAGCTGAGCCACCAGGGAAGCCCTGGATTCCCTAGAAGCACATCTTACAAATATTTGTATCCAAATGATTTGTTGAAAAAGTGCTTCCAGAAGGGAGTAGGGGAGGCAGGAAAGGGAAGGGCAGAAGGCCAGGCAAGAGAGGTAAGCGGCATAGTCATTGATGGACTCCTCTGCTGGATGATCATTTGTTTATTGTCCATATTTGATTGGGCAGGTACTTAAAACTCCCAGACTGAGAACTTCCATTTTCAGCTCTTTCAAAGCAAAACAGTTCCATTAACTTGAGAGACTTTTCACCAAACAAGCCTCTGGTGCTGGCTTCTGAAAGCACATCAAAGGTAATATGAACACAAGGAACAACAAAAAATGATTCTGTGGGATTGGTGTGAATCATCAACATAGTTCTAGGGGTGGGTGGAGAGGGAACAAGTACTACAGTGTTAATTTTAAATTTTTTTCTTGCCTGACTTATTTCTTCTGTTTCATATGCTGCCAGATAGGGCATTTACTTCTCCCTCCAAACTCCTTTATTTCCCCAAAGCCAGGTTACCAGCTCTTCCCACTGCCATCTCTCACAGATACTTAGATGTTTCTTAATCTCTAACCTCATCCTTAGGCCTTGAGCATTCCACTCCTCTTAGAATTGTTTCTAAGCCCAATAGCCAAATTACAAGTCAGGTATGACTCAACATGGCCAAAGGGAATGTTTATTGAGCACCTACAATGTCTGGCATTGTGCAACACGCACTTGTTTTATATACGTGAGAGATAAATATATGGTTCAATCTTTATGGTTATATGGCTTATACAGTGTGACATTTAACGACATTCTGGGAATTGACACTCCCAGTTGAGGGTCAGAACCCAGGATTCCTCACTCATTAAACCCAAGACGCTATCCATTATGTCCAGGGCCTTTGGCTAGTTTCTGTTAAGGGAACTTGGTCATTTCTTTACAAAGGCTTGATTCTGTGCGAGTGATTTATTGGACCTGCTTCCCCAATCCGATCTCCTTTTCCCATCCTGAACAAGGAACGCAGTTTCTTCAGTCTTTAAAAACGGGAGACCAGTATTTGGCTGGTGGAAGTGCATGGGATGGGTGTTAACCCCAGGCTCATCGCCCTAAAGCCAGGCGTCCAGGGAGGCTGCTCTGGCTCCGCCCCGGTAAACTGGGGGCAGCGCCGCCCGATAACTGGCACATCTTGGCTTCCTCAGGCACCAGAAGTCTTAGAAAGATAGAGCTGAGACATCACATCAGGAAAGCCTTTCTCCTCTCTTTTAACTCTAGGGTGCAGCCACAATTCCAAACGGAAAACAACTCCAGGGTAACCGGCACAATCAACGTCAATCTGGCCCGGCGACGCGGAGACAGTCACAGTAGCCAACGAGTTCCTGCCACATCACAGGCTCCGCCCTCCAGCTTGCTGCGGACTCCGTCAGCGTCGCTGACCCGGATCTAAAGGCGCTACGCGGCGCTATATTCTGGCGTCACTTCCACTACAACGATGGCGGCACAGGGAGCAGCTGCGGCGGTTGCGGCGGCGACTTCAGGGGTCGCGGGGGAGGGCGAGCCCGGACCCGGGGAGAATGCGGCGGTCGAGGGGACCGCTCCGTCCCCAGGCCGCATCTCTCCGCCGACCCCGGCGCGCGGCGAGCCGGAAGTCACCGTGGAGATCGGAGAAACATACCTGTGCCGGCGGCCGGATAGCACCTGGCGTGAGGGCGGGGGCCCAAGGCCACGGGGCGGGGCCTAAGGGCGGGGCGGGGCCTGAGGGGGGTAGAACTCGGTTTTTTGGACTTGCCCGGGCGCCGCCTACAATCCCCACCGCTGGGCTTTAGCCAACTTCTTCATTCTGTGTTTTAGAGCTCCCGTTCCACTTCCTTGCCCAGTTTTAGGCTTTATTCCCTTTTTTTGTTAACCTGCTTCCTCACTGGTCTCCCTTGTCTCTGTGACTTCCTCTTCTATCCATCCCCTACTGCGGCCAGCGGAGAGGACCTCCCGGAACACAAAGACGAGCTTCCCCTCCCTTCTATTTTTTTTGCGTCATTTCCAGAATAAGCCCCAAATACCTTAGAATGGACTTCGTCTTTGTCACCTTTCTGTTTTTTTAGCATCCCTAGCAAAGGCCATTGACGGACCAGACCACATGCCTTTTACCGCTGGCTAGTCCCACTCATCCTTTTAGCATCATATCCCCTGTGATGCCATTCTTGACTCCCTTCAGGCAGAGTGAATCGTTCCCTTCTGTATATTCCTGCAACATTTTCTTCATACCTGAGCTACGGTATATGTACTGTTGTGTTGTCATTGTCTGTCTTGTATCAAAGTGTGAACTTCTGGAGGGCAGGACCGCTAATGATTCATCAGTGTATCTTCTGTACCCAGCAGCAACCCAGCTCAGGGCCAGACTTGCAGTGGTTGCCTTACTCATTTGTTGAATGGTCTGCCATTTGGTGCTGTACTGAAAGCTTATCACCATTTGAGGGAGGCGCTGTTATCCTTATTTACAGATGAAAGCGCTGAGGCTCAGAAAGCCAAAATAACTTGTTCAGTTAAACATAGCTAGGAAGTGAGGCTGTGTGAGTCCACAACTAGCTCTCATGGCTTCTGAACAAATAAACGCCTGAGTATAGTAATACAGACCTTGAATTTGGAGCCAGACTTGAATTAAATATTAAATATTAATTGCTTAAATATTAGTGCTTATTACTTTTCAAATAGGTGAACATAGGTAAGCCTCAGTTTCCTTGTCTCTAGTATAAGAATAAGAACCCCAATCTGGCCCACCTCAGGACAGTGATTGAAGGGAGTGGCAGAGGTGAACAGATGAGGTTAGCTTCGGAATCTGGCCTCAGAATCTGGCAAACTTCTCAGTGTCACTCGTTCCAGCCCCATTTTCTTTCTCGGTTATCCTAGCCTTTTCCCTTCACAGATTCTGCTGAAGTGATCCAGTCTCGAGTGAATGATCAAGAGGGCCGAGAGGAATTCTATGTACACTACGTGGGCTGTGAGTGACTTAGGGTATTTAGGTGCGGGGGTGGGGGAGAACGCGAAGGGGCAGCACCCTCATGACCCATCCTCACAGTTAACCGGAGATTGGATGAATGGGTCGACAAGAACCGACTGGCGCTGACCAAAACAGTGAAAGATGCTGTGCAGAAGAACTCAGAGAAGTACCTGAGCGAGCTGGCCGAGCAGCCGGAGCGCAAGATCACTCGCAACCAAAAACGAAAGCATGATGAGATCAACCACGTGCAGAAGGTCCGGATCCCTTCCCTTCCCCAGTGCCCTCCCCTTCCCCGGGTCCCTCCCCTTCCCCGTCCCTCCCCTTCCCTTGAACCCTCCCCTTCCCTTGAACCCTCCCCTTCTCCTGGGCTCCTGGAGGCTCAGTTCTTCTCTGGACTTCCTTGGGTCCTGGTGCCACACCCACAGCAGATCCCATTGCTTAAGCTCTTGCAGTATATGGGGGACTATCTACCTCCTCCCAGGTATTCTTCACAGATGAGAAAACTGAGGCTCAGAGAGGGTGAGAGCTTGGCCGTAGCCTTGTGGCAAAGAACTGACACAACTGGGAGCGGAACTCAGGCCTCTTGCCGCTTTTATGCCCCTCTTGGCCGTGCCATATTGACAAACGGACCTGAAAGTTCCAAGGGAAGGAAGAGAATGAGTGATTTGGGGGTACTTGCAATCGCCAACCCTTGTGCTGAGTGCTGTGCCTGGATAAGCTCATCAGGTCCTCTGTAACAACTTAATGCCACAGAGCTAATTAATTCTTTTTGAGGAAAGCAGGAAGCAGACTCAGAGAGGTTAAGTAACTTGCCCAAGGTCACACAGCTAGTATATAAAAGGGTGGGCTGAAATTAGAGTAATAATGGCACATTTATTGGCTTGTGAGCCACAGTATTAGGCTAAGTATTCTAGAACATGATCTCATTGAAGTTTCACAGCAACTCTGTGAGGTAAGCTTTATATCCCCAGTTTACAAGGGAGGTGCAGGTAGTTTTAGGAACCCAGTCAGGAATTAGATTTGTCAATTAGATTGTTCTAGTTTGGGGCACAAGCCCTTAGCCTTGACTTGGAAATATCCTAGAAACTCATGCCATTTATTTCCAAAGCTTGGATTTGGGGACTTCCCTAGTGGTCCAGTGGTTAAGACTCTGTCCTTCCAATACAGGGTGTGTGAGTTCAATCCCTGGTTGGGGAACTGAGACCCTTCATGCCTCTGGGCTAAAAAAATAGAAACAAAATTTGGGTTCTTCTCTTGAAGCCAGCCTGCCCCTGGGGGGTTTCTTTTCTCCTACCCTGAGCCTCAGTTTCTTGATTTGTGAAATGGAGTGTGCAGATGAGAAGAGGCTTTATGGAGCTCTTAAGGCACCCAGATTTTTGTTATTTTCACCCAGTGCAGTTGCATCCTGAGCACTCATTTTGGAGTTTGCAGCAATGGTTTGCAGACTGTGGGGCACAGCTATTAGTAAATTGCCAGATGAGTTCAGTGGGTTGTGGTCATTTAAATTTCAAAAACAGACAAGGTACAAACTATCAAAGTGTGTTGTCCTTTAATAAAGGTAAGTTGAGAAGCTCTTATTTCACTACAAATATACATGTGTGTATACACAGACTGCCAACTGGTTAACTGTGCTGGTTAACTGGTTAACTGCCAACTGGTTAACTGGTGCTGTCATTAAAAAAAAAAATTATTTTTAAATGCTTTGAATTAGAAAGATCTCTCACTGGGGATTCCTGGTGGTCCAGTGGTTAGGACTCGGCGTCTTCACTGCCATGGCCCAGATTCAGTCCCTGGTCGGGGAACTAAGATTCCACAAGCCACGTGGCGAGAAGAAAACCCGAAAGATGTCTCTAAAGCATCATCTAAGGCAGCACCATCCTACTGAGCATCCTGCGATGGAATGGGAATGTGCTGTGTCTGTGTGTCTGATACGGTAGCCACTACCCACATGTGGCTATTGAGTACTTGAAATGTACTGAGAATTGAATTTTATTTTGAATGTAATGAACTTAAGTTTAAGTAGCTGCTTGTGGCTAATGGCTACTTTATCACACAGCACAGTCTAAGGTTTGCTCAGCTCCCCAGCCAGGTTGCCCTGGTAAATTAAGTGTCAAAGATGTCCCTCTAAGCTGGCAGTCAGCATGGTGGATGACCGTGGACCAGTGGTGGTCAAAGAATGAATAACCAGCGAGTTACTCAAAGAATGAATAATCAGCAAGTTAACCAAAGAATGAATAATCAGGAGTTAACGATCAGCAAGGTTCTCCAGGGCCTCATTAATGTTTAATTCTAAATAAATTACAGCATTTATGAAAAGTAGTGTTTTTGTAGTTCTTTAACCCACTTGTAGAGGAGGACTGCTTTGTGAATTGGGAGATATGTTTTAAGAGGCACATGAAGAGGAAAAGCTCCCTTCCCTCATCTGTGCAGGGGTCTGGCTTTGGTGTTGGGCGGGCTGGAGGCCCATGCCCCACTCTGCTGGGTCCCGGCTCTGGGAGCCCACTTCTCCGTGCCTCAGTTTCTCCTATACGGTGTGGATAGTGAGCACTCCCATCTCAGGCTCGAGCTGAGTAACGCCTATGATGTGAGCACTTGGTACTTGGAATAAATGGCAGCTGGCTAGTCCCCAGGGGCGAATGACCTCACTTCACCCTGTTTACTTCTCTGTAAAGTAGAAGCAAGAACATTGTGTTTCCACATTGCCAAAGGGTTAAATGAGGCCATCCGGGTGAAGTGCTTGGTGGAGAGGGTTCTGTAAGACACTGGCTCCTGTCTCCCTTCTAAACCACAGGGCAATGCTGCCATCTTCTCTGGTGTAGGTCCCAGGCCTTCCTGGGTCACTTGTCAGGCTGGCCTTGGTTCCCCCTTCAGCCTCTGGCCTAGAAACTGGGCAGGCTGTGATTGTCACGTGAGTTATATCCCTGCCTTCCAAAGACTTGGAAAATAGGGAAACCAAGGGGGGAGACAGTGGGTACTGTTGTTGAGTGAGGCAGTCCTGACCTGGGAAGGAATGTATTCTGCCTCAGAAGAATCCAGTCAGGCCTCCTGGATGGGGTTGGGAAGTGTGCTGGGCCTTCAAAGACAGGAAGCGCAGTAAAAGCAAGGACACGTGCTCACTTGCCAAGCTCTGCCTCGTCAGGCACTCCCTGGCTCATGCTTGGTGCCGGGCTGAGTAAGCGTTTTCTGGCAGCTGTAGAAGAGGGAAGGACATGGAGGCTGGGGGGAACTGCATGCGCAAAGGCATGAAGACCAGAAACAGGAGTGTCAACAGCAGAGCAGGGTTGAGCTGAGACGGAGGGCTGGGGATCCCCAGAGGCCTTGTCAGCAGCTGTCCAGACCTGACATGGCAGTGGCTCTTCGGGGTGGGGCCGAAGGAGCCAATTCCAGAGATGACAGGGAGGCAGAGCTGACAGGACGTGGCCATTATTCGAATGCCAGGCTGAGAGAGGAGGAGGAGCCTTGTGAGCAGGCTCATTATTGGTCTGGGGCAGTTGGCCCAAGGGTGATGCTTCCCAGTGAGCTGAGGAACCCAGGAGGATGAACAGGTTTGCAGGAAGAAAGACCGAATTCCTTTTGGGACACCTAGGGCCCACTGTGCCTGTGGGAGGGGCCTCTGGGAGCAGTCCCATTTGCAGGAAAGAGGTCCAGGCACATTGGGGTGTCCCTACCGGCTCCTAATACGGTCGCAGAAGACCAGACCTATTATTTCCTCTCTCTCCCACAACTATGGCAGAACTGAATTGATCCGATTGTAAACATCGAAGCTCTTCGCAACCTAAGGAGTGGATCCAGGCCTTCTGATCCTAGCCCTGTTCATCAGGCAAACGGTCCAGACTTGAGCATCAGGGGGCTCTGGGATGTGTGGGTGGGTGGGCAGATGGGAGAGGAACTTGGACCAGCCAGCTCCGAAACCAGGTAAAATAAGCTTGCTCGATCTCCAGTTATTATTGTAGTTCAAGGGATGAGGTCTGGGAAACGGGAGGGGTGGCCTGACCCCTTCTATTCACCTCTGTCCACTGCTCTTTCTCACTCAGACCTATGCAGAGATGGACCCCACAACAGCAGCTTTGGAGAAGGAACATGAGGCGGTAAGTAGGGGGAGGAGTCCTAAGCGGAGGTGCCCCTTCCCTGTTGCTTCTCTTGCCCCGACCAAGCCCTCCTTCCCTCCACTCCCACCTCGCCCACAGATCACCAAGGTGAAGTACGTGGACAAGATCCACATTGGGAACTACGAAATTGACGCCTGGTACTTCTCCCCATTCCCCGAAGACTATGGGAAACAGCCCAAGCTCTGGCTCTGCGAGTACTGTCTCAAGTATATGAAATACGAGAAGAGCTACCGCTTCCACTTGGTGAGGCTGGGCTGGGTCTGGTGCATGCAATGGGTGGGCGTCAAGGCTGAGGGCTGCCTGAGACAGCAGCCAGGGGCAGGAGAGACAGGCCCAGAGCCGTAGGAAAAGCTGGCCCGGGTGGAGAGACCTGGCTTCCAGGCCTGACTCTGCCTTGGCTGGAGCCTCCCCACTCAGGTTCCTTTTCTGTGGAATGGGGACCTTCTGGGGTCCCTGGCCCTCACCACATATTTATCAAGGCCAGTCCAGTGCCAGGTTCCTCTGTGCAAAAGAGGAAGTCAGCAGATCCCTGAGCCATGGGATCATGACACCTAGACGGTTGGAATGCTTGGCCACACACAGGAGCCACCTGGCTGGCATGGTGGTGTGTTTCCCACAGGGTGGATTCTTAGACAAATATGTGTGGTTTAGAAAACAACCGTGTCACAGGTGCTGGCCCTCCAGAGCCAGGCTGAGCTGGACTTGTAACTATCCTGCTGTGTGATGTTCATGCCAGTCAACCTGGCCTGTTACTGGGCCTCCGTCTCTCCATCTGTAAAATAGGATTCGTCTCCTCAGATGGTTGGTGGCTTACTTGATATAGGTAAAGTGTGGAGCCCCAGGGTCTCCAACTGGGGAAGTGGAGAGAAGCGGAGGCCTGCTGTAAGCCACACAGGGTGGGATGGGGCACCCAGTGGGGAACTTCGGGACCCCACATCTGTGCTTCCCCCCTCTCACCCCCAACCCAGGGCCAGTGCCAGTGGCGGCAACCCCCGGGAAAGGAGATCTACCGCAAGAGCAACATCTCTGTGTATGAAGTGGATGGCAAAGACCACAAGGTGAGCCCTTGGGCAGAGTTACCATGGAGATGGGGGACAAGCTAGGCACTTCCTGACGATCCTCACTATCAATAAAGGGCAGAGGCCAGCCTTAGCGTGAGCAGAGGCCTGTGTGCTTGTGCTCGGCCTGGCACCCAGCCTGTGTTCCGTGCAAAGCAAGCTCCCTATGGTGCCACCCTCGGATTCTGGGTTTTCCTTCTGTCCCCGAGGGACTTGGCTTCTGAGGGGGTAGCTGGGGGTGGCTTAGGCTCAGGTGCTTCTGGAACCCAGAGTGGAGATTGTCTGGCCTCAGGGTATTGTTCAAACCTGCTTTCTCTTTCTGCCTGAAGAAACGGTGTTTGTTTTTCCTGGATGGGAACTGCTCTGTGTGAGGCTTCCTCCCCGAGGGCTCTGTGGCTCTGAAGGACTTCAGTGGGGTGGTGTGTGGTCTCTGGGGCCTGCTTTGCTGTCATGGACAACTTGGCCTTTGTCTGGTCAGTCTGGGAGGGTCTCCCCGAGGGTCCCTGATTCCCGTGCAAGGACAGCGGAGTGTAAGATGCAGGGGGCTGGCTTCTGAGTGGCTCTGGGCTTCAAATCGCCTTGTCACTTCCTTGCTGACCTTGGACAAGTTACATAAGGTCTTCTGTTCCTCTTTTCTCCTCTTTAAGACAGGAGTCATGCTAATATTTACCTACGAGACTTGTTAATGAAATGAAGCAGCAAAGTCAAGTACTTAGCCCAGTTCTTGGTACTGAGCAGGGACTTAGTAAACACGGGCTTTTGCCAGCCTTGTGATGAATAGCTTGCTAAATAGCCTCACGTGAGCCCCCTGCTCTGCCTTCCTGAACATCAGTGGGGTGGGAGGTGGGGTTGGAGGGGCAGAAAGACAGAGCAGAGGTGTGGATGTTCTTTCCAGCTCCACCCTGTCCAGCTTTGAGGCCTCAGGCAGTCCCTCACCCTTACAGATCCTCAGTTTCCTCTTAAGCAAAATGGGTCAACAGTGCTGGGGCTCACACAACTGTTGGGTCAAATGAGAGTCCCGCTGGCCCTCCTGACATTGGTCTCTGGCCTGGCATGGCCGAAGGGGTAGATAGCTTGGACTATGGAGTCAGGCTCAAGGGCTGTTCGTCTGCAGACATTTACCAACCCCCCAGGTTCACCCTTCGCCATGTGCTAGGTCTGAGGGCACGGCTGTGAGCAGACAGAACTCACACACCAGCTTGAGTCCTGCCCTGGCGCTCATCAGCTGAGGGACCTTGGGCAAACCGCTGTCTCCTCTGAGCCTGTTTCCTGAGCTGAAATAGAAGAGTCTGTGTCTCTAAAGATCAAACTCCCCTTGAGCGCTCAGCAGCAGTAGCCGTGATTAGCCCGGCTCTGCTGTGACCTCCTTGAGTGCGCGTTCCTGTCTGATTTTCCATTTCCTTGTCCATCAGAAAGTGACTCTAAGACTCCTTGCAATGCTAAACACAGCCGTTCTGGTGAGGATCCCACTTTTCACCGGACTGGCACTGGCTACTATCGAGCCTGGCACTTGCACCAGGCAGGGTGGCAGCACCTGCCCAGACCTTGATGGAGCTAGGTGGAGGCGTTCTGCCTGCCCCCTGAGCCTGCTTCCACCCACCCCCAACCCCCCAGATTTACTGTCAGAACCTGTGTCTGCTGGCCAAGCTCTTTCTGGACCACAAGACGCTGTACTTTGATGTGGAGCCGTTCGTCTTTTACATCTTGACCGAGGTGGACAGGCAGGGGGCCCACATTGTCGGCTACTTCTCAAAGGTGCTGGGAAGCCCAAGTTGAGGGAGGCAGGGGGTGGGGGGTGGAGGAACCCGAGTAGGGGCTGAGTCTCCCCAGAGGCCCTGACCACCCACCCCCGCAGGAGAAGGAGTCCCCAGATGGGAACAACGTGGCCTGCATCCTGACGCTGCCCCCCTACCAGCGCCGTGGCTATGGGAAGTTCCTCATTGCTTTCAGTGAGTGATTCCTGCAGGAAGGGTGATGATGGTGAGGAGTGCCAGGGTGGGGTGGGTCCTCAGTTTCCTCGTTTCCACCACCACCAGGCTATGAGCTCTCGAAGCTGGAGAGCACGGTCGGCTCCCCTGAGAAGCCACTGTCTGACCTGGGCAAGCTCAGCTACCGAAGCTACTGGTCCTGGGTCCTACTGGAGATCCTGCGAGACTTCCGGGGCACCCTGTCCATCAAGGACCTTAGGTAAGTCCTTCCAAAGGGAAGGACTCTCCTCCGATTGCCCGTGATCCCCTCTCCTTGGCCCCTTCCAGCCAAACCCCTCAAGCAGACCTCTCTCCAGCATCTGCTCTAATCTGTTTGTGTAGTCAGATGACGAGCATCACTCAGAACGACATCATCAGCACTCTCCAGTCCCTCAACATGGTCAAGTACTGGAAGGGCCAGCACGTGATCTGTGTCACGCCCAAGCTGGTGGAGGAACACCTCAAAAGCGCGCAGTATAAGAAACCACCCATCACAGGTGGGTAAAGGGGCTGCCCTAGGGGTGTGAGAGTGGTGGGGGTTAGGTGTAAGGACCTCCAGGAGCCAAGGCCTCCTTTTTGCTGTCACCTGATCCCAAACCAGTCTGACCAGCTCCAGGACTAAGCCTGCGGCAGGCCACTCATTCCTGGGCTTCCCTCCCCACCCCCCCACCCCCACCCCAGGAATCAGTCTGCCCTTGTTCCCATCTGCAGGTGAAACCTGGCCTGGGCCCAGGGCAGAGCAGCCAGGGTGACCAGCCCAGTCGGGGGAGGGGGGTCAGGGGGCGTCCTGCTTCTCATCCATCTTTTCTCCCCACAGTGGACTCTGTCTGCCTCAAGTGGGCACCCCCCAAGCACAAGCAAGTCAAACTCTCCAAGAAGTGAGTGGCCTGTGCCTCTGCTCCTGGACCCACGCCTCCTGCTCCCCAGCCTGTAAATATGTACAGACCTGTTTCATCACTTTTTTAAATAAAGTGCTGCTGTTGTCCCAGAGCTGACGGACTTCATGTCTCTCTCTCTCTCTCTCTCTCTCACACACACACACACACACACACACACACACACAGCCGGTTGTGCTCAGAACATTTTACTCCTTCTAACCCCCGCCCCCAGATGCATGTTGGAGCCCAGTTCCGGTGGGGGCTCAGTCCTCCGGAGTCCAGAAGTCAGGGCTCAAGGGGGGGCATGGCAGCCAATGAGGCAAGATTGGGGCCTTTTTTGTCCTTGAAAACCTGTTGCCCAGAGGCAGCCCCAGGCTTCCCTGGTAGCTCAGATGGTAAAGAATCCACCTGCAATGCAGGAGATCAGGGTTTGATTCCTGAGTCAGGAAGATCCCCTGGAGAAGGGAATGGCCATTCACTCCCGTGTTCTTCCTGGAGAATCCCATGGACAGAGGAACCTGACGGGCTACAATCCATGGGGTTGCAAAGAGTCAGACACAGCTAAGCGACTGACACACTTCAGAGGCAGCCCTGGCCCAGAAGAGGGTGAAGTGATGGGGCTCATCAGACAGAGCAGGTGAGGTGCTGAGCCAGTCCTTCTTCAGTAGCCTTCAAGTTGGCCAGTCTTCTAGAAATGGGTAGGGAGCCAGGGCCCATTTTCATAGCTGAGGGTCCTTGGGGGCTCCATAGGAGCCCAACAGATAGGCTTGTGGACAGCAGATGGAAGTGACCAGAGGTTCTAGCCAGTACCACAGGCAATCAACCCCTGCAATGGAGGTTACCGTCCCAAAGAACAATCCAGAAGAGTGGGCTCAGAGTTCAGGATGGTTCCTTGAACTCCCACAGGGTCCTGGGAGGAGGGAGTGACTCAAGTCAGGCCCCGGGCCCAGAGTGTCCCGGGTGGGGCCTAACATGGGAACAGTGTCCGTCCTTGGGTGTGGTGTGGAGATCTCGGAAGCAGAGCAGCTCCCAGGCGTGAGTAGCTCAGTCCTCACGCAGTGGGCGGAGGAGGCCCAGGGTCAGGCCAAGTGGCAGCAGAAGGATGGGTCCCACCAAGCCCTGGGCTGGGGCAGAGTTGAAACCCGTGTGGTGGCTGCAGAGGTGGCCATCGGGCTGGGACTCCTTCATTCGGGGCACCACCTGAGGCTGGAGATTTGCCACTTTGTAGTGAATCCAGGAGGCATAAACGGAGGTCAGGGTATAAACACCGGGCCTGTTAGGGGCCCCACAGGCATCACCCCAGCTTACGATGCCTGCCAGGTACCAGCGGCCTGCCACTGGGCAGGAAAGTGGGCCTCCAGAGTCACCCTGAAAAGAAAATCCACACAACAGCTGTCAGGACGGGACCCCAGGCCTCCAACCATCCAGGCCAAGCCCCCCTTAAGCCCTCATCACCCAAGACACACCTGTCTCCTCCGTTCACCCGGACCCTCTGCATTTACCTGGCAGGCATCCTTGCTCCCGTTCACGTAGCCAGCACACAGCATGTCCTGGTTGATTAGGTGGGGCTCCCCAGGCTTGGCATTGATATTGTACAGGCAGTTACAGGTCTCACGACTGATCAGCGGTACCTCAAGTTGCTGCAGTGGCCGGGGGTTCGGGAGGCTCACTGTGGGGGGTAAAAGATGCTTACCCAGGGTCTCTTGGCCTGAGTCAGCTCCCCTCTGTGTCTCTAGACATCAGCCCCGTCCCTTACCTGAGGGGGCCACATGGCCCCAGCCAGTGACAATGCACTGGAAGCCATTGGGGAAGGAGGTGTTGGCTGCAGGGAGGCAGATGGGCCGGATGTAGCGGGAGAAGGTAACGGAGCTGCTGAGCTGGAGGAGTGCAATGTCCCCCATGGAGCCTTCATGGGAATAGGTCTCGTGGGAAATGACCTGGGCCACCCCACGGACCTGGATGTCAGCGCTATAGTAGTCCAGCTGGTGGGCGCCCAGCTTGACCTCGTATTCTTCTATCTTGTTGTCCCTGCAGACAGAGGGGTGAAGGCAGAGCAGCTGACCTTTGGGTCCCACTCTGCATCCTAGTTTTATCCTGTGATCTGTGACCTCTGGCCTTCACTCCCGACAGATCTTTAACAGGCTTTATTGATACCCCCTAGATCCAATCCAAGAACCCCCAGTCTCTGACCTACATTGATCCTCCAATCTTGACCCCCGCCCCGCCCCACTTCCCCACCCTGCCCCCACCCCATGGGTACCTTGGGAAGCAGTGAGCAGCCGACAGCACCCACTGCTCGGACACAAGAGAGCCGCCACACACGTGGGTGCCGTGGTGGTTGATGCTGACCTGCCAGGGCCACTGGCCGCGAACTGCATCGGTACCACCTGTGATACGTGCTTGAGGGACCATACCACAAGAGGCTGCCGGCAGAGGAATGGGAGGGGGTCAGGACCTCTGGAGCCACCAGACCACTTCCTAACCCGCTACAGCCCAGGAAGTCTGGTTTGGAGCTTCAGAGGTGAGTTCACAGAAGCCAGTCAGGCTTTGTCCCCAGCCCCCAGCTCACCAGTCACCTGCTGTCCTTGGCCAAGTGGCTCATTAAAGGTCTCACTCAGCTTCTGTCCTCTCGGGCCTTCCTGCCTTCCATCTAATCTACTCCTTACATATCTGGCCAGTTCACACCACTGCTTAAATCCTTCCCTGGATCCACTCTGCCCTTAAGAGAGATTTCAGACCTCTCATGGCACTGCCATCCACTCCAGCCATCTATCTGGACACTCACGTCGGGCCACACACTAGACCTCCAGACTTTTGCTTACTCAGATCACTCCACCTAGGGTAGTCTTCCTCATCCCCACTTCTATTTGAAATGTGAAATGGTGATACTTTGGCCCCCTGATGTGAAAAGCCGACTCATTGGAAAAGACCCTGACACTGGGAAAGACTGAAGGCAAAAGAAGAAGGGGGCAGCGGAGGATGAGATGGTTAGACAGTATCACTGACTCAATGGACGTGAATTTGAGCAAATTCCGGGAGATAGAAGCTAGAGCAGCCGGGCATGCTGCAGTCCATGGGGTTGCAAAGAGTTGGACAAAACTTAGCAACTGAATACAACAACAACAACTTCTATTTGCCTATGGAGGTGGTTCAAATACCAGTCCCTCTGAAGTCTGCCGTCACCCTGCTGGCTGAGGTAGGTGATGCCTCAGAGCTCCCAGGGTCTATGCTTCCTGGACAGGGCTGTTTGCATTCTCACTGTCTACTTCAGCCAATCAACTTGGGCGTTCCCTAGGGGTAGAGACGAGGGCAGACTCACACGTCCCCAGTGCTGGGCACACAAATGGAGTCGTGGATGTGTTGAACAAATGAACAGGACATCCTGGATCCCAGGGTGTGAGCATCTCATTTCATTTCCAGGACAGCCCCACCCCTGTGAAGGCCACTGTTTGGAGCAGGACCCAAATGCCCTTCACAAAGTCACCTTATCAGGTGCAGGGAAAACCACCCAGGTAGGCTCCTCCCCGTCTCCTCATAAAAAGGACAATAGCTACCATTTAGAGACCAACAGTTCAAGCAATGCCAGGCCCTGAAGGGGTTTTCACTTCCTTTATCTTCCTGACTCCTCAAGCAGCCCCAGGAGGTAGACAGAACTGACTTCATTTTATTTTGGCCTGCGCTGCATGGTCTGTGGGATCCTAGTTCCCCAACCAGGGATCAAACCGGGCCCTTGGCGGTGAAACCACAGCGTGCTAACCACTGGACCACCAGGGAATTCTTTCAACTTCATTTTAGAGGTGAAGGGACTGACCGCATGAGACATAGCTGGTACATGGTGAAGCTGGGACTGCTAACGAGACTGACCCTTGGTTTGTTCCCTTCAAAACAACCCACCTTTGGGCTCAGACCTGACTTTAAATCCCAGCACTGACACACACTGGCTGTGTGCCGTTGGGCAAGTCACTTCTCTGCCCCTCACTGTCTTAAAGATTGAGGCTGTCGTCCCCACCTCAAGTGCTACCAGGGACCTAAATAAATAAGACCAGGGCAGTGGACGAAACAGCTTTGCAGAGGGTCAGGTGCTCCAATGCTCCATGGAAATCTGAACCCCTGGCCCCACCCCTCACCTTCCCCTCCCCCATTCCTCCCGGGTGAGCCTCACCTTCAGCTCCAACGGCTCCTGGAGGGAGAGAGAAAGAGGGAGGAGTAAGCAGGGAAGACTCTAGAGCTCAGACCCCAGGCCGCCCCCTCCCACCCCCCCGTCTGCTGCTTCTTCTGGAGGCTTCCCCATCCTCTATCCCAGCCCCAGGAGACCAAAGCTGGGGAGACAGGCCAAGAGCCAGTGAGGCTGAAGACTGGGGTTCTTGAGCCCACAATAAGGGACGTACCCCCGAAAAGGGTTATACCCTTGGCCCCAGTGCACTGCCCTCCTCTCCTTCCCACCCTCGCCTGCCCCCTGCTCCCCACCCGCGCCCACACTCACCTATCCCATTCTGGAACAATCCAAGCAAAAGCGCAGTGACCACAGCCCTCCAGGCCATGGCGCAGGACCAGGTGCCCTGAGCACCCAGGGGCAGGGTCCTCACAGGCAAGAGGTGGGGGGTCAAAGGTGAGCTCCAGGTGTCGGGATCGCGAAAGGCAGGAGAAACAGGTGTCCAAGGCTGGCTTCGAAGGCAGGAAGCGGGCGCAAGGGAAACGTTGGGGTCTCTGCAGCTGGGCGGTGAGGACCGGTCTCCAGATCGCCCTGGGTACGCACCGACCTTCCTTCCGGAGTGGCAGCTCCCAGGAAAGGGTGCCTACCTGTCTGCCCCGCCCCTGGCCCCGCCCCCCTGCTCAGCTCCGCCGGCCTCTCTCACCAAACTAGGTTGTGTGTGTGTGACAGAGAGAGAGAGAGAGACCCCTAGGCTGTGTGTGTGGTGGGCGGGAAGGTGGGGGAGCTGTTGCTTAAGCAGCCCCAGGCAGGGCTGGAAACCTGGATGTCTGGATTCCTGACCCAACTGCTCTTGGGCCCGGGTCTTTCAAGTCTCCCATACCTGTTAAGCCCCCCCAGGGCCCGGCCTGGCCTCTGTTATCTTAGGCCATTGCTCCCTCCTTCCCTCCCCTCCTGGAGCCTCGTGTCTGAGCCCCAGGACACCCGGTTCTGCCCTGGGGCTAGGGCTCTTTCAGGCCCTACTGTGGAGCCTGCAACCTCATCTGCATGTGGTGAGGTGTGGTGACATGTCCGGGGATGCTCATCATTCCATGCATATTTATTGACAGCCTAATATGTTCCAGGTACAGGAGACAAAGTGGACACCGTCCTGCCTTCCCTGAGCTCATGGTGAAGTTGAGGTGACAGACCTGAATCACAGGATGACACAAGCAATTACAGAATAACTTCAGGCGAGGCTGGAGATGGAGAAAGAAGCTGGGGGTGAGGCGGGGTGGGGGGTGCCCTGGAGGCCATTGACAGGAGCCCGACCTAGGCTGGTATCAAGAAGGGCTCCTCAAGAAGGTGCCTTTCGAACTGAGACTTCAAAGGGTTTTGAGAAGGTGTTAACAAGGCAAAGAGGGGGAAGGGTGGTCCAAGTGAAGGGTCCTCAAGTGGAGGGTGCAGGGGGCCCATGTGCCTGGCCTGGGGAATCAGGTGCTTCCTCTGTGACTGTAGAAATTCAGGCAACTGGGAATGTATGTTGACTTCAAGCTTTAGAAAAAGAGAGCCCCACTTGCCCACCTTCCTTCCCTGAGACAGGCATCTGGCTCTCTGAGCCAGGACTTTAGGGCCCAGGCTGGAGGGCAGGGAATTCCTTGATTGGGAAAGGGGATGAACTTCCAGCATTCCTGTAGGTCTCCCCTTACCCTCTGCCTAGTCAGCCCTCTGCTGCATATGAGTGACTCAGCCATCTGCAAACGGTGACTCCAGCCACAGAGGTGCCCTCATTGGGGGTAGCCCCCATTGCTACCCTTAGCGGCTGGTTTCCACCCAAGCAACCTTCCTGCCCTATATGGGTCTTCCTTTGCTTTTATTCTGTGCTAGAACATCATCTCCTCTAGGGCTTTCTCCTGACCCCCAGACCATGTGTTCCCCACCATGCTGGGAGCATTTCATGGGCTTGTCAAGGTCCCAGCCATGTTGCTCCATGGAGTGCGGGGATCATAGTTCCCTGATCAGGGATGGAACCCACACCCCCTGCAGTGGAAGCACAGAGTCCTGAGTTAGCTGGAATTAGCCAGGAGTCAGTAGTTAGCAGGAAACGTGGTTGAATTAATATAGGGAGCTACACTGGCTGTGGCTTCCCTGGTGGTTTAAGATGGTAAAGAATCTACCTGTAATTCAGGAGACTGGGGTTGGATCCCTGGGTTCGGAAGATTCCCCTGGAGGAGGAAATGGCAACCCACTCCAGTATTCTTGCCCAGAGAATCCCATGGACAGAGGAGCCTGGTGGGCTATAGTCCATGGGGTCCCAGAGTCAGACACGACTGAGCGACTAACACACAAACACACACACTGGTTAGTGATGGGAAGAGGCTGTGAGATGTACAGATGAGGGACTCATGATGGGGTCCAGACCCTGGGGGCTTTGGGCAAGATGTGGTGGGCCCTTGAAAGGTACAAGTGTGGTGTGTGCACGAGGACTCCAGAGGCGTACACTCTGGGACACCATTCATCAGGGTGTGTATGTGGGGGAGGCTCCCTGTGGGTGTAGAATATGACAGACAGACCCCGGACTCCCAGACCCCCGGACTCTCCCGCTGACCCTCACCCTCAGTCCTTCTTGCTCTCAAGGGGGAGGGGCAGCAAGGCCAAGGCTGAGGTGGCCAGCAGGTGTCAGGGACGCTGATTCCACTGGGGACGTGACACACACCCAGCTGGCCATGCAACCTCCCCCGCCCTGGGGCAGGAATGAGGGACAGCTGCCACCTTATCGGAGACACATTTCCTGGTTGCCCACAGCCTGACTCACAGAGGCCCAGGAGGAAGAGGCCCAGCCCTGGGGCCCCCCTTGGCCCCCTCAGCCTGCCTCCAGCCGTGCCACAAGGCCACGTGTCTGTGTTTACATGTTTATTGTCCGCTGGCTCCCGCTGCCCTCAAGAATGCCAGAGCCCGAAATAGCTGGGCACTGAGGCCCAATTATCCGAAGCCGCTGCAGTCTAGGTGGGTGGAGCGCTCCAGAGGTTCTGGGTAAGGGAACGGGAGCCAGTTGGGCTACATTCCAGCCTCACTGGGCGGTTAGTGGAGGGTGGAAGGGGGTGGGGAGGTGAAGGGGAGGTAGCCCAGGGCCCCGGGCCGGGAGGGGTCAGCCCTCAGCCCTGGATCAGGGGGGTCAGAAGCAGCAGGAAAAGAGCAGCCCGCGGGGAACCTGAGGCCCTGGCCATGTCAGGGGGACAGAGGTCGCTGCCTTCAGTGAGCCAGTGGGGGAAGCTGCTGGGGGGCAGGAAAGGTGCCTCCCCCACTGTCTGGGAGATCCAGGCCTCTTCAGGGCCAGTGGCAGCAAACAGCTCCCGGCTGCCTCGAACAGCCATGCCCACGAGGACCCAGGAGCCTCCCTCAGTCTGGCACAGGAGTGGAGGTGCTGAGGTCACCTGCAGCATCAGGGCCAAGACCAACAGGGGCCCTTACTCTTCCTTCCGGTCCCCTGCGCCTCCTAGGACCCAGTCACAAACCACTGTTCCTCTCCATCCTCAGGCATCTTGGCCCCTGGTCTCTCCTGAGGTCCAGTCAGAAAGCACTGCCTCTTCCAATCTGAAACCCAGCACCTAAGAATCCCCACCCTGCTCTCGCCCTGGCATCCGGCTGCCCAGCACAGCCTCTGTCCTGACCGGGCCAGGATACCCAGATCCCGTACCTCACACCTGTCCTCTTGCCCCTCTGCATACAGAACACATAGAGTTCCAGGAGGCAGAAGGCCTTGATAGAGGCAGTGACAGAGTCGTGGCGTCAAGATGGAGACAGCAGCAGCCACAGGGACTAGAGATAGGAAGGAAGGTTGCCCCAGGCATTGTGACATCCTGTCCCTTCTCGTCCCCAGGACCCAGGGCTCTCACCTCGGTCTTGGGGGTCCTTCCAGCCCAGTACCCAGCAACTGGCCCCCAGGGGGGTACCCCCTGGGTGAAGGCAGATGGGCAAGGCTGATGGGGAGGGCTCCACTCGGGAGCTCAGCTCCAGGAGGGCCAGGGGGGGCCGCAGTCCCAGGTGCCGGGGCAAGCGGATGCTGATGACCAACCGGGACACCTGGTGGCTCTGGGGGAGAGGGCTGGCCCCCGCCCGGCCCAGGTACACTTCAATATAAGGCACCGTTGTAGAGCCTGGCCTGCAGAAACAAGGTCCAGGGTCACTTCCTGATCCCCTCATTGCTGATAAATCCTTCCCAGCCCAGGGGGAAAAACTGAGGTCGCTCAGTCGTGTCCAATTTTTTGTGACCCCGTGGACTGTAGCCCACCAGGCTCCTCCATCCATGGGATTCTCCAGGCAAGAATAACACTGGAGTGGGTTGCCACTTCCTTCTCCAGGGGATCTTCCCAACCTAGGGATCAAACCCAGGTCTCCCGCATTGCAGGCAGACGCTTTAACCTCTGAGCCACCAGGGAAGCCCAGCCCAGGGGAAAGGGTGGAACAAATATCCAGGGTCAGTCCACTAACTCCTTCATTAGTCCTCCTTTGAAATCTCTCTTCTGTCTCAAAACACTTCGAACAATTTCCTGGTGCAATAAAAGCCCTAAAGGGAGAACAGCCCGCTACTGTCCTTTGGCCCCTCTCCCAATGTCTCCCTCTTGCCAGGAAGATGGGTGAGACCCACCTGAGGACACAGTGAGTGGCTGCCAGAACCCAGCCTGGGGCCACAAGGATGCCAGCACAGACGCGCTCTCCAGCGACATGCACCTCTGCCAGCCAGGGCCATAGGACCCCCATCAGAGCTGGCTCTGGCCGCAGGCCACAGGCTAGGGAGAGGAGATGACCCCCTCAGTGGGGACTCCACAGCTGACCCTCAAAGCCCCTACCATGGATCTAAGCCCTCCCAGGAGTCCCGAAGCCCCAAAGGCCCCTCCTCACCACCATTCTCTGTGTGAGGGGGACAAGTTTGTGCCTCAGTCTCTTCTCCCTCAGGGCCCCAGTCCCAGGCCAGCTGGTCCTCCAGGTAGGCCCCCCGAGTCACATGGCTGATCCATGGACCGTGGGTCTGCAGCGGGTAGAAAACTCTGGGACGCAGGCAGTCACTGGGGAAGTCTTTGATTCCAGCCAGGAACCAGGTCCCCTCTTCCCGGCACAGCAGGCTCCAATGAGAGTAGTTCTGCAGCAAGAGGGTGTATGTGTTAACAGCCTTTATGCGCGTGTCAGTTGATGAGGGGACCTCAAAAGTCCTGGAGCTTCCCTGGACTCGAAACTGTCCCGTATTCGGACATAAGAAATCCCACCTCCTCCAACCCAGGCTCCAACACTAATCTGAGTAAGAAGGCTGCCCTCACTTTAGGATTCTCTTTAAACCCAAGAGGAGTTTAAAAGTCCCGCGGTATTGGCGGGTCTTGGCCGCTCCCCAGAAGGCTTCCAGGTCCAGGCCCCGCTCCCAGCGCGTCCTAGCCCCGCCTTAACCCCTTCTACCCCCAGAGCGCGGCTCCCGGTTCACCGCCCCTCCAAGGCCCCGCCCACAGCCCGCCCCTCCGTCTTACTCCAACTCTTAGACCCCGCCCCCGCCGCTCACCCAGCAGCTCCCCTCCGCCTCCTCCTCCTGGTAGGCGGGGCAGAGAGCCTGCGGCGGCTCTCCCGGCGGCGGCACTGACGCCCCCTGGCGGCCATACAGGCAGTGACACCACCAGGCACCCAACAGCTCCGCCTCAAGCAGCGAGCTGGCTCCGGGCGCGGGTTCTGCGAGAGAAAGGGAGGGAGCCAGCGCTCCCGCCGCGTCCGGCCCCGGGTCCTCCCCGCTCGGCCCGCGCCGAGCCCCAGCTCACCCCCGCGGCCCCAGCGAGCCAGGCGGCAGCGGCTCCCTGGCAGGAAATAGTGTTCTGGGTGGGGTAGACACACTGGCCGCGGGGCCGCGCTCAGGTTCACGGGCGCGCGCAGCTGCAGCAGCGCCAGGTTCGAGGCATCGTCCCACGAGGCGTTCTCGTGCAGCACGAGGCGCGCCACCTGCTCCGCGCGCGGGCGCGAGGGCAATTGTACGCGCCAGTAGTCCAGGTCGCTGGGCGGGCGGTCTGAGCTGATGTGACTGCGGGATGGGGAGACTGGGGACATGGGCTGGATTCTGCAAGCTCAGCTCTAAACCTCCACCCTTGGCTTAGAGTCTGGGTCTCCAGGCAAGATTCTGCATCCCTAACCTGAGAACTGTGCACTCAGGCTCCCTCCCCGACCCCTCCGCCCAATCCTGGGTCGAATTTTTATTACTATTTGCCCCAGAGAGACTAGGACCCCGATTTTTGAGCTGGATCATACACCTCCAATGGGACCCCACACCCCTACCCCTGTCCTACCCAAGGGAATGGCTGGGGCCAGTTAAATAGTGTCTCAGACTGAGCAAGAATCTGCCCAAGACTGGGTTTTCACTCACCCTGGAAAGCAACTGGCAGGTGCCAAGACCCAGCTTTCAGACACCAGTGCCCCATAGCAGGGTCTGGATCCTGGGACCATCACCTGGGCTTCCCAGGGCCAGGCCCCTGGCCTCCGGGCTTTCCCACACTCTGGGGGGTGAGAGGCCTGAGTCAGAGGGCCTCCTGAACCCCAGGCAGTTTCCACCTGAATTCAAATCTCCCAGATCCAGCTGACATCTAGGGGTCCTGCCTTCCTCACCTGGCAGGGCGATGGTGCAGTTCTCATTCATGGGCTCCGGGAGGCCTGACTGGGCCTCCGGGGGCTGGGTGGGGAAGGCAGGCCCAGGCTCTGAGCCTGACACCTGTTCCCTTATCCATGCCTCATAGGGAGCCACAGCAGTGAAGACTCCGGGGCGGTTCCTCCGTCCACAGCCAAAGCCAAAGCTGGTGATTCCTGCCTGGAACCATCGGCCACCTTCCTCACAGACCAGGGGTCCCCCAGAGTCTCCCTGATGACAAATGACTCAGTGTCACTAGATCAGCCCAGGGACCTACCAGCTTATCCTGGACCACCTCACAAAAGTTCTACACCTCTTCTTTTTGGACCTACACACAGCCACCTTCTCCTGGAAACCTACATTGACTGGGCCTTGTCCTCTGTGATCCCTACAGCTCTAAGCAGGGGAAAGCCTTATAGAACAGAAAGGCTCATGAGGAACCAAAGCCAAGAGTACCAAGCTAATGCAGTAAAGGCCATGCCGGAGAGGCCTGCCGGTCTCATTCAGAGACAAATGATTCCTCAATAAATAGTTAAAGCCTGTCTTTGGTTTCTAAGCTGTTAGAATTCCTTGTTAAACTGTTAAAGTAAATCAGGCACTTCCCTGGCGGTCCAGTGACTAAGAGTCCTTGCTCCTAATGCAGGGGACCCAGGTTCAATCCCTGGATAGGGAACCAGATTGAAGATCCCAAGTGAACTAAGAATGCGCGCAGCCAAAAAAAAAAAAAGTAAATCAGAGATGTCAGCATTCAGGAGGAAAAGGCTGTTAGAAAAGCACTAAGAAAGGATGGTTTGTAGGTAAGTAAGGAGGAAGAACTACAAGAAACAGACATTAAAACAAGGGTTCTGGGACCATTTACTGCTGGGGCATTGTCCCTAAGATATGACTATAATCCAGGTCAGGCATCTCTGTGACCTGAGGAGGGATACAAAGAAAGCTCAGAATTATCCAGAACTGTACTGTCCAATATGATACATATATTAGCCCCTGTGGCTATTTGAATTAATTTACATTTAATAAAATTAAAAATTCAGTTCCTCAATCACACTAGCCACCTTTCAAACGTTCAATAATGTATGGGAGAAACCAAGACAATATTGTAAAGCAACTATCTTTCAATTAAAAATAAATAAATTTTTAAAAATGTTCAATAGCCAGTGTGGCTAGTGACTATAATGCTGGACAGTACAGATAGAAAAACATTTCTATCATCATAAGTTTTATTGAACAGCAGCACTGGTCTAGAGGAAGTTGAGTTGTTGGCAACCCTGTTCAAGAGGCAGGGATTATGTCTATAGGTCCTGGAACTTCATAATTGGCTTCTGTGCCATGCTTAGTAGCCCAGTCATGCTGACTCTTTGCAACCCCATGGACTGTAGCCTGCCAGACTCCTCTGTCCATGGAATTCTCCAGGCAAGAATACTGGAGTGGATTGCCATGCCTTCTTCCTCTAGGCAATCTTCCCAACCCAGGGATCCCACATTGCAGGCAGATTCTTTACTGACTGAGCCACTAGAGAAGCCCAAGAATATTGGAGTGGGTAACCGATCCCTTCTCCAGGGGAATTCCTGACCCAGGATTGAACCGGGTTCTCCTGCATTACAGGCGGATTCTTTACCAGCTGAGTTACCAGGGAAGCCCGAACAGGAAGGTCCCACCGGGACATGAACTTGGATCACTGGATTCAGAGTCCAGAGTGCTCACCATTATACCACAAAACCCCTTTTTTCATAATTGGGAGAGGCCCTGAAAATCATCAAGCCTGAATTTCCATCACCACCATGCATGTTTGAGTGCCCTCAAAAGTGTATGCCATTTGAGGGGCATTTCTGGGGAAAATGGTTAAAATATATCATGTTTTGGCCTTCAGCCCCTTATCCAGAAAACTCCCTCTGTGAAGGATCAATTCACTTTTAAAAAGAACTATTTGTTGAGTATCTACTAAGTAACAGGTGTTGTGCTCTAGGCTACAGTATGGGAATAATTGCCAGGAGAACCCCTTGGACAGAGAAGCCTGGCTGGCTACAGTCCATAGGGGTGCAGAGTCAGACATGACTGAAGCAACTTAGCACGCATGCACAAGGACCAGACCTTGTTCTAAATCCTTTTCGGCGGTGGTTTAGTTGCTAAGTGGGGTCCAGCCCTAAAGATCCCATGGACTATAGTCCTCCAGACTCCTCTGTCCATGGGATTTCCCAGACAAGACTATTGGAGTGGCTTGCCATTTCCTTCTCCAAGGGATCTTTCTGACCCAGGGATCGAATCCGTGTCTCCTATTGCAGGCAGTCTCCTGCACTGCAAGCGAATTCTTTACCGCTGCGCCACCAGGGATCCCCAAAATACTTTTTATATGTACAAATTTATTTAATCATCATAACCTCCTGACGAAGTAGGTAACGCTATCATCCCCATCTTTCTGATGAGAACGTCTGCACAGAGAGGTTAAATGACCTGGTCAAGGCCATACAGCTCATAAGCAATGGTGCTAAGCTTCTAACTGGACATCCACTGCACTATACTGCCCCCATCAATAAGAGTGCCCATTTGTTGAGCCCCAAGTTCTGTCCATTTGTATTCCTCACATTGATCCCACCCGCTGGCAATCTTGCCCTCTTTTTGCGGATGAGGTTCAGAAATATGAAAGAGGATTAGTTTATTCCTCATACTGCTTTCTGTTGGTTAGGGCTCTGCCTGGCACCTCCCCTCACCTGGCAGGTGTCCCTGCGGCCTTCCGGGTAGCCGGCACATAGCATCCCGGGCAATAGCTGGAAAGTGAGATTGAAGGGGCCAGGCCGGCTGTAGAGACACTGACAGGCAGCCTCTCCCAGCAACCTGAGCTCCACTTCTTGTAGCACCCAGGGGAGAGGCAGGGGGTCTGTGAGCAGAACCAGAGAAGAAAGCAGTGAGGCAGGGATGCAGCCCCCTCTTCCCCAGGGCTTAGCCTGGTTCCCTCTGGGGCTCTCCTGGACATGTCTGTCCCCATGCGGCATGGCACGACTCAATGCACATGAGTCTGAGCAAACTCCGGGAGTTGGTGAAGGACAGGGAAGCCTGTCGTGCTGCAGTTCATGGGGTCCCAAAGAGTTGGACACGACTAAGCGACTGAGCAACAATAATGGCTAGGTCCTCTCCGTCTGCCTCCAGGACATCGCTGTCTCCTTGTGCCCTGGCATGTAAACCCACCATGTCCAAAATCAATGTCCCCTCCCGCCCTTCTCTGCTCTTCTTCCGACATCGTCATCGCAGAAATGGCCCCATCAAGTACCCGGGGGAGGGACCCACCTGGTAGGTTCCACCCCCCAATCACCCACCTCCCGAGACAGCCCCCTTTTCCACTCACCCTCCTCCTGGACGTCCCCCCAGCCGGTGGCCCAGCAGGCGGTGCCGTGAGCAAAGCGGTGCGAGGCGCGGGGCAGGCAGACGGGCCGCACGGAGGGGCCCAGCCTGGCGGGCGCGGCCAGGCGCAGCAGGGCCACGTCGGCGCCCCGTTCCACGCTGCTGTAGTTGTCCGGCACCAGGATGGCGGCCACCGCGCGGACGTGCGCGCCGTCCAGGGGCCCGTCCTGCGAGTGCACGCCCAGCACCACCGACCACTCGGCCGCGGGCTCCAAGGTCCCGTTCCTGCGCCGCGGCGGGAAGGGGGTCAGGTGGAGCCGAGGGAACGGGCAGACCCTCGTGGGGATGGGGGCTCGGAGTCAAGGAAAAGGTGGCGTCAGCCAGACCCTGGGAGGGGTGACGTCCCATCCAGATTTAGGGCTGGGGCGATCGGGGTTGAGCTAACTTCCTAAAACGGGGAGGAGCGAATGCGATTTGGAGGTGTTGGGGCGGGGAACTGGAAAGATGAAATTCATACTCGGATAGTTGGTGGGGATAGTTGGCGAGTCCGCTGGCTGCCTCCCCAGATACTCAGAACCCGGATACCCTTCAGAGCACTTAGCTTCAGGAGGGTGGGGAGGCAGGGGTGGCCGAACTTCAAGTTAACCTTGAGTCCGCGGGGTCCAGCTGCTGGTCAGGCTCGGCTTTTTGAAGGAGAGGGATTGGACGTGCGCGAATACTCACATCACGAAACAGTGAGCAGCCGAGAGGACCCAGGAAGGGGCGATGAGGGAGCCCCCGCAGATGTGGCCCCCGCCATGATGCAGGCTCACCTGCCACGGCCAGGTGCCCGGCTGAGAGTCTAAGCCCCCCACGATTCGGGCAGAGGGCTCGGGGCGACCGCAGTCTGCAAGGGGGTAGGGTGGAGGTCATCGCCCGCCCCCTGTCCCCCACGCCGGAGGCCCAGGTAACTCAGGACAAAGCCCCATCACCCACTCCCTTTAGTTTGTCCCCTGTCCCCCGCGGGAAAAAAACCCCCAGAAGTTCTGCACTTCTAAGTTTCTGATCACTTCCACCTCTCTATCACCTTTCGTTGTTCAGTCTCTTAAGTCCTGTCTGATTCTTTGCGACCCTATGGATTGCAGCACTCCAGGCTCCCCTGTCCTCCATTATCTCCCAGAGTTTGCTCAGATTCATGTCCACTGAGTTGGTGATGCTAACCTCATTGCCTAGCCAACCTTAACTTCCTTTAAGATCTGAGGTTCCTCCCCACCCCCATTCCTTACCCAGATCTTCAGGTTCTTCTTGAGTAGGACTGAGAGCTGGAGTCAGAGGGGCAAAGAGAGAAAAATACTGGTGACCTCCAGCTCTTGACAATGCCCAGCTCCCACCTTCCTGCTTTCTTCTTCCCTAATTCCTTGCTCTCTCAGCCGCCCTGCCAGCACCCAGGCTACCCGTCCCATCTTTTCTGCCGCTGCCGGTGATGTTCCCCCAGTCGTACTGCCTTACCTGAGTCCTGGAAGGCTCCCGGGATGGGGCTGATGGCTGTAGATATGGAGGCAGGAAGAGGCTGGAGACCTACAGTAACGATGATGTGCCCTCCCTGGCTCCCTCCCCACAAACTTTGCAAGTACTCCATCCCACCACGGCACCCAGACCTCCATTCCCCCTCTTCTCATAGGCTCTTCCTCCTGCCCCTCTGGACACCTCACTCCCATCTTCTTCTGGTGTCCTCCTCTGACACCCTACTCCCCAGGTGGACCCCTGGAGTCCTGCTTTCCAGCTCCCCAGAGGCTATGACCCAGGCCCTTTGCAGCCATGCCCTGTCCCCTGAGCTTACCAAGGATCACAAGCGGGAGAAGCAGGTGCTGGGACATGGTCCGTCTGAGTCAGTTGGAGGCACAGTGATGGGTGAAGATCCACTCCCTGCCACACAGTTCTGTCTCTGCCTCAGCACCCCGTGACTCCTGAGGGTCCAGAAAGAGCCCCGCCCTCCCTGGCTGGAGCCCATCTCTGGGAATCTGAGTGGATCTGGGGCTGGAAGGAGGAAGTAGGGAGCCTGAAGTCCCCACCCAGAGTCCCGTGCACATCTCACATCTCTAGAGGCCCGGGGTGGGGGCGGGAGGCAGAGGTCCTAGCTCCTGGATGCCTACTGGGTGGGGGAGGGAGGAGCAGAGAACCCCCCAGGGGGGAAGGGGAGGACGGCCAGAGGCTGGGAGGCCAAAGTTCTGGGTCCCTGGTGAGGTAGGACTGCAGGTCAGCAGTGGCCCTTGGGACAGGGAAGGTGGCCCCTCAGTGGTGTGACTCATCTGAGACTTCATCTCTCTTTGGGGTGCGGCTACCCCAGTGGCTTGGCCTTTTCTTCTCACACAGCTCTGGTTACTGGAGTTGCTGGCCAGGTCTGGGACGGGAGCCCTAGGGAATTCAATCCCATCCCAACAAAAGGATCACAGATTCCAGCAGCTTAGGGCAGGGCAGAGGATTCTGGGAGGGGGCTGGGCAGGCTGGTAGGGCCCGAAAAAGACTCTTAACTTTCTTTGTGTTAGCGTTAAGTACTCTCGGGTGTTGTGCCACTTACTTCGTATGACCTTAGGAGAGTCACTCAACCCAGGTACAGCAGGAGTCGACTTAAGAAATACGATGCTTCAAAGAGGAATCAAGGACAGTTTAAGGAAGGAACTATTTATAGATGCGTAGGCAGGGAACTGGGCAACCATCAGGGATGGTGAAGCACTTGGGGGCCAGTAATATTGGAGAGCCCCTCCTGAAGAGGCAGAGAGAGGGAGCAGATATTAGAGCTGGGAAAGAGAGAGCTGAGCTGTAGGAGAGGACCAGCCAATTGGAGTGCCTCAGGGGAGGAACAAAAATCTTTATCGACCAGTGGCTCAGCAGGGAGGGAGCTGAGGAAGGAAAGTCCCCATCTCACTCTTCTACCCTCTGGTCACCTGCCGGCTCCTCCCATTATCTGAAACCTACCGGAAGTCAGAGTGCAAGACAGCCCATGATGTGGCCCAGAAAGGTCACCCTCTGGGGGGACAGATCAGGATGGGGGAGTATGGGGAATGGAAATGGAGGGTCACACAAACAGTACCCACACACATACATCTATTTTCTTATCAATGATATAAACTAATAATACAACTAACAATACTCTCTTTGTCCAGGGACTTCCCTGGTGGTCCAGTGGCTAAGACTCTGCACTCCAAAAGTTCAACCAGGTTCGAACCCTGTTCAGGGAACTAGACCCCACATAACCCCAACTCTGAGTGTGGATTCTGCAAAGAAGAGTTCTCATGATGCAGCTAAAAGATGCTATGTGCCGTAACTAAGACCCAGTGCAGTCAAATAAATAGATATTAAAAAAGATACTCAATTTGTCCAATTTTCCTAGAAAACAGAGGTCTTCGGTTCAGTCCAGTTCAGTCACTCAGTTGTGTCCAACTCTTTGTGACCCCATGAATCACAGCATGCTAGGCCTCCCTGTCCATCACCAACTCCTGGAGTCTACCCAAACTCATGTCCATTGAGCTGGTGATGCTATGCAACCATCTTATCCTCTGTCGTCCCCTTCTCCTCCTGCCCTCAATCTTTCCCAGCATCAGGGTCTTTTCAAATGAGTCAGCTCTTCGCATCAGGTGGCCAAAGTATTGGAGTTTCAGCTTCAACATCAGTCCTTCCAATAAACACCCAGGACCCATCTCCTTTAGGATGGACTGGTTGGATCTCCTTGCAGCCCAAGGGACTCTCAAGAGTCTTCTCCAACACCACAGTTCAAAAGCATCAGTTCTTTGGCACTCAGCTTTCTTTATAGGCCAACTCTCACATCCATACATGACTACTGGAAAAACCATAGCCTTGACTAGACAGACCTTGTTGACAAAGTAATGTCTCAGCTTTTTAATATGCGTGTAGGTTGGTCATAACTTTCTTTCCAAGGAGTGTCTTTTAATTTCATGGCTGCAATCACCATCTGCAGTGATTCTGGAGCCCCAAAAAATAAAGTCAGCTACTGTTTTGACTGTTTCCCCATCTATTTCCCATGAAGTGATGGGACCAGATGCCATGATCTTAGTTTTCTGAATGTTGAGCTTTAAGCCAACTTTTTCACTCTCCTCCTTCACTTCATCAAGAGGCTCTTTAGTTCTTCACTTTCTGCCATAAGGGTGGTGTCATCTGCATATCTGAGATTATTGATATTTCTCCCAGCAATCTTGATTCCAGCTTGTGCTTCATCCAGCCCAGCGTTTCTCATGATGTACTCTGCATATAAGTTAAATAAGCAGGGTGACAATATACAGCCTTGACGTACTCCTTTTCCTATTTGGAACCAGTCTGTGGTTCCATGTCCAGTTCTAACTGTTGCTTCCTGACCTGTATACAGGTTTCTCAAGAGGCAGGTCAGGTGGTCTGGTATTCCCATCTCTTTCAGAATTTTCCACAGTTTGCTGTGATTCATACAGTCGAAGGCTTTGGCATAATCAATAACGCAGAAATAGATTTTTTTTGGAACTCTCTTGCTTTTTCGATGATCCAGTGGATGTTGGCAATTTGATCTCTGGTTCCTCTGCCTTTTCTAAAACCAGCTTGAGCATCGGGAAGTTCACGGTTCACATATTGCTGAAGCCTGGCTTGGAGAATTTTAAGCATTACTTTACTGGCGTGTGAGATGAGTACAATTGTGCAGTAGTTTGAGCATTCTTTGGCATTGACTTTCTTTGGGAGGTCTAGGCAAAGCCTAAGTACTTTAGATTTTTTGGAAGGTACAATCCCAGGGTGGCAAGAGTTAGGGAAAATGAGAAGTGATCAGGGAGAAGAAATGCAAATACAGAGACCTAACAATTGACTGGATTCAACTAATAATTTGCTAAATTTATTTAATCCATGGTTGGCAATGAAGGTAAATGAGGTGGTGTGAAAATTAATAAAGGGAAACTTCACTGAAATGGAGTTGGGAGGCCAGAAGGGGGAGCTCTCACACACATACTTTGTTACTGCTTTCCAGTTACTCAATCATGTCCGACTCTTTGCCACCCCAAGGACTGTAGCCCACCAGGCTCCTCTGTCCATGGGATTTCCCAGGCAAGAATACTGGAGTGACTTGCCATTTCCTTCTCCAGGTGATCTTCCTGACCCAAGGATCGAACTGGGGTCTTCTACATTGCAGGCAGATTCTTTATGATCTGAGCCACCAGGGAAGCCCCATGCAAACACTACTTGATGTCTATACAGGTCCCAACCAGAAGAGATACTAGAGTACTTTGCATCTCCAGCAGAAGGGGACACTACTTTCCTACCCCCCAGCAAGAGGAAGAAAGATTTTCTCCCTGCCTGGCAACAGCTCAACCAGTGAGAGTTGATTTTAATAAGAGTGTCACGCTGGGCAGTTTGTGAGATTTTAGCTGGCTGACCAGGGACGGAACCTGGCTCTCAACAGTGAGAGTGCAGACTCCTAACCACTGGACTGGGTGGAGTTCCTCTTAGTGTCTCCATTAATAGGATACAGCTGGATTCCCACATCTGCTTCTGCATCCAGTCTATTGGTTTATCATTGTCAAGAATCCTTTGGAAACCTACACTGTATACTTGATGTCATGAAAATAGTTCTGCTCTTGGGCACCCCTTGAAAGGGTCTTGGGGTCTCTCCAGGGGTTACCAAGAATACTTGAGAAATGTTGCTTAAAGACAATAATTCTTTAAAAAAAAGACTAATTCTTGGACTTCCCTGGCAGTCCAATGTTTAAGACTCCACGCTTCCAATGCAGGGGGTGTGGGTTCAATCCCTGGGCACGGAACTAAAATTCCCTGACCCAGGATGTACCCCCTCCAAAAGACAATAATTCTTACCCTTTCCTCAACCCAAAAGGCCTGAGGAATAGAACTTACCTCTCTAAATAGGACAGGAACTCACCAAAGCAATGTATATCATGAGAAGTAGAGGGAACATTTTTCTCTAGGGAGACAGATTAGAATTTCTGGGGGTGCAAGTGCAGTTTGCAAAAGCTACCCTGGTGATTCTGATAGTTCCTCCACCCCAATATGCCCTAGCTTGAGAATCACTGCTCTAAGTTTCCTAATAGCCAATACAAAGAGGAAAACCCAAGCGACTAGGACAGAATATAAATTTCTCCTGTAGGTCCTCATGGAGAGGACACTTTGGTGTAAGGAAATCTCCCTCAACAGTATCATTCTGGCAAAAACAGCAAGGAGTTTCATAAGGTTGACTTTTATAGTACTGCAGAATGTCAGTCAATAGCACCGTGATCAAATATCATCAATAAAATAATTATACGGGGATGCCTCTGGTAAGAGAGGCAGTGGATGGACACATGGTTCACTGCTGATGTGTTTGGTGGACGGGGAAAGTATAGATCAACTAGTGTGTTAGTTTTCTACTACTGATGTAGCACAATACCATACATTTAGTTGCTTAAAACAACACAAATTTGCTATCTTACAGTTTTGAGGGTTAGAAGTCTGACAGGGGTCTCTCTGGGCTAAAATCACCAGGTCATCAGGACTGAGTTCCTTCCCGGAGGCTCTAAGGGAAAACCCATTTCCTTGCATTTTCCAGCTTCCAGAGGCTGTATTCACAGCTCATGGCTCCCCTCTTCCATCTTCAGAATTAGCACTGTAGCATCTCTCTGACCCTTTTTCTGTCTTCACATCTTTCTCTCTGACCAAAACCAGGAAAGGTTCTCTGAGTTTAAGGATTTATGTGATTTGGGAAGATGTAAAGAAAGGGGAACTCAAACACTTGTGCCCTGTTGGTGGGAATTAAAATTGTTACAGCCATTATAGAAAACAGTATGGAGGTTCCTCAAAGAATTAAAAATAGAACGGCTGAGCTACTGGGGCAGCCCAGAACTACCATATGATCCATCAATTCTCCTCCTGGTATTCATCCAAAGAAAGTGAAAACACTAATTGGAAACGGTATATGCAGACTTCCCTGGTGGTCCAGTGGACAGGACATGGGTTCAACCTCGGGTCTGGAAAGATTCCACATGTCTCGGGGCAACAAAGCCTCTGCTCTGCAACAAGAGAAGTCACCATGATGAGAATCCCGAACACCGCAACTAGAGAAAGCCTGAAGGCAGCAACAAAGACCCAGGGCAGTCAAAATAAAGACAGAAGTAAGTAAAAAAGAAAAGATATATGCACTTCTATGTTCACTGCAGCATTATTTACAATAGCCGAGATATGCAAGCAACCCAAGTGCCCATCAGTAGATGAACAGATAAAGAAAATGTATATATATATAATATAATGATACCCAGTGGAATATTACTCTGCTATAAAAATGAATGAAAACTTGCCATTTACAACATGGATGGACCTAGAAGACATTATGCTTAGTAAAATAAGCCAGACGGAGAAAGACAAGTACCTTATGAATTCATGTAGGCTGCCTCTGA